AAATGGGCAGAAGACATGAACAGACATTTCTGCAAAGAAGACATCCAGATGGCCAACAGACACATGAAAAAGTGCTCCATGTCACTCGGCATCAGGGAAATACAAATCAAAACCACAATGAGATACCACCTCACACCAGTCAGAATGGCTAAAATTAACAAATCAGGAAATGACAGATGCTGGCGAGGATGCAGAGAAAAGAAGATGTGGTATATATACACAATGGAATACTATGCAGCCATCAAAAGAAATGAAATCTTGCCATTTGCGACGACGTGGATGGAACTAGAGGGTATCATGCTTAGCGAAATAAGTCAATCGGAGAAAGAGAACTATCATATGATCTCCCTGATATGAGGGAGAGGAGATGCAACATGGAGGTTAAGGAGGTAGAAGAAGAGTAAATGAAGCAAGATGGGATTGGGAGGGAGATAAACCATAAGTGACTCTTAATCTCACAAAACAAACTGAGGGTTGCTGGGGGGAGGGGGGTTGGGAGAGCGGGGGTGGGGTTATTATGGACATTGGGGAGGGTATGTGCTATGGTGAGTGCGGTGAATTGTGTAAACCTGGCGATTCACAGACCTGTGCCCCTGGGGAAAAAAATATATGTTTATAAAAAATTAAAAAAAAATTTAAAAAAACAAGCAAAAAAAAATTATAAATAACTCCTCAAACTCAACACCCAAAAAAACAGATAATCACATCAAAAAATGGGTAGAAGACATGAACAGACAATTCTCCAAAGAAGACATATGAATGGCTAACAGACACATGAAAAAATGTTCATCATCATTAGCCATAGGGGAGATTCAAATCAAAACCACATTGAGATACCACCTTACACCAGTTAGAATGGCCAAAATTAACAAAAAGACAGGAAACAACAAGTGTTGGAGAGGATGTGGATAAAGGGGAACCCTCTTACACTCTTGGTAGGAAATCAAGTTGGTGCAGCCACTTTGGGAATCAGTGTGGAGGTTCCCTAAGAAATTAAAAATAGAGCTACCCTATGACCCTGCAATTGCACTACTGGGTATTTACCCCAAAGATACAGATGTAGTGAAAAAATGGGCCATCTGTACCCCAGTGTTCATGGCAGCAATGGCCACAGTCGCCAAACTGTGGGAAGTGCCAAGAAGTCCTTCAACAGACTAATGGATAAAGAAGATATGGTCCATATATACAATGGAATATTACTCAGCCATCAGAAAGGATGAATACCCAACTTTTGAATCAACATGGATGGGACTGGAGGAGATTATGCTGAGTGAAATAAGTCAAGCAGAGAAAGTCAATTATCATATGGCTTCATTTACTTGTAGAACATAAGGAATAACATGGAGGACATTAAGAGAAAGAAAGGAAAAGTGAATTGTGGGAAATCGGAGGGGGAGATGAAGCATGAGAGACTGTGGACTCTGAGAAACAAACTGAGGGTTCTGGAGCGGATAGGGGGTAGGGGGTTAGGTAAGCCTGGTGGTGGGTATTAAGGAGGGCACATATTGCATGGAGCAGTGGGTGTGGTGCATAAACAATGAATCTTGGAACACTGAAAAAAAAATTATAAATTCACCATACTAACAATTAAGGAAGAAAAAACCTGACATAGTCATCTAAAAAAATTCATAATGAATTTAGAAATGAAATTCACACTCATGCAAGATTAAAAAAACAACAAAAACAAAACGACTCAGTAAACTAGGTTTAGGAAGGAACTTTCTCAGCCCAATTAGAAAAAAAAAATCACATAATATTTCAAGGTAAAATTTTAGAACATTCTTTAAAGTCAGGAAAAAGATGAAGAAGCCTCTTCTCACTCCCTCTTTTGAACAGTGTCCAAGTATCTGGTCAGAGCACTAAAAAAGAAAATGGTATCATGAAAGTGTAGAAAAGAAGAAACAAATACAAATGCTGATGCGAAGTTGATAGACATGTGATCACCAGGCAGAAGGGAAGAGTATCCCTATATGCCAGCAAAGACAGTCAGAAAACTGAATTCAGTTCACAATAGTATTAAAATCTACCCACAAATAAATCTAATAATCCCCTATTATAAAGAAAAGCATAAAACTGGACATGTTGATTTTAAAACACTGTGGTATTCATTCTGTGGTAGATGAACTGGCCACTGGAACCGACTAGAAACTGAGAAATAAACCCACTGTTATGTGGTATTTTAGTATTTTACATATCAATAGGAAAAAGATGAATATCTTTTGGCTCCAAATAACAACAACAACAAAAAAAACTTTAAAAAAAAATCGTATTTGTTTATTTGAAAGAGAGAGAGAGAGAGAACACGACTGGAAGGGAGGCTCCCCGCTGAGCAGGGAGACCAATGAAGGACTCGATTCCAGGACCCTGGGACCATGACGTGAGCCAAAGGCAGATGTTTAAGCCACTGAGCCACCACGTGACCTGAGAAAACCAACATTTTTTAAGTGGCTCAAACAATGAGAAGAAGTCACAAAATAAGATATTTGAACTAGGGTTCAAAGTCATCAAAGATCCAGGTTGGATCTGTCTTCCTCAGGATCTCAGTGAATTCCCTTCATTATCACAAAATGCTCATGTCATAAACATACATCAAGAAGCAGAAAAAGGAGATTGTTTCTTCATTATGTATATTCTGTCAGGGCAAAAGAAAATCTTTCCTAGAAACACTTCTAGCAAACTACCCTTTGCCTGTCTTTGGCTTGAACTGCTAAACTAATCATTATGTGGGGAAATGACAATGCCAGTGTACTCTAAGAGCAATCAGGATTTGCTTGAATCATTTGGGAAAGGAGAAGACACCAGAACAAAACTGGTGTTCTGCCAACATGAGAAAGAGGAAAATGACTCTTGGATCAGTAATTTATGATACAGTGGAGTATTCCATAAATAGTGTGGGGAGACTAGACTATCCATACAGAAGAAAAGAAAGCTAGATCTGAATAACACCATAAACAAATATAAATTCCATGTGGATTAAGATGTCAAATGTCAAAAGTTAATTTTCAGCAGAAAATACAGAACAATATGTTTTAAAATTAGGAGTAGAAATAGATTTCTAATATAAAATATAAATAAGCACAAATCATAAAGGATAACATTAATCAGCTAGACTACATTAAATTTTTAAACTTTTGTACAATATACTGGCATTAAAGTTGAAAGTCACACCACAGCCTCAGAGAAGTATTTGCATGACATAAGACAGTGCTTCTGTTATCCAACAGATAAAAATGGGCACAGTGTAAGAATGAGCAACTGACAGAAGAGGAAAACTAAGGAGTCCATATATACTATAAAAGATGCTCAACCTCATCAGTAGTCAAAGAATTGCAAACTTATATAAAGAAATAGCACTATTAATAATAGACCCATGATAACTAATAGACCCACCATTACTAATAGACGCACTATTAAAAAATGTTCTAATTTGATAAGACTGAGTCCTGACACTATGTGGGGAAACAAAATGTCATCCATGCCTAGCAGAAGGGTCAACTAGGTCAACCTCTTTCGTGATTACTTTATTAATATTTAGTAAATTCAACAATATGCATGGTCAATAATCTAATATCCTTTCCACAATATGTATCTTAGAGAAACTCTTTCACATGTACACCAAACCACATGGTCTAGGATATTAGCCACATTCTTTCTTCTTTTTTCTTCTTCTTTTTTTTCCCTCTCTCCCTCTCCACACACACACATACAATCAAATAGTATGGTATAGTTTAAATAAATGAACTAGATCTATATATGTCAACTTGAATTATCTTTAAAATATAATACTGAGGTGTGCCTTGGTGGCTCAGTGGGTTAAGCCTCTGCCTTCGGCTCGGGTCATGATCTCAGGGTCCTGGGATCAAGCCCCACATCAGGCTCTCTGCTCAGCAGGGAGCCTGCTTCCTCCTCTCTCTCTGCCTGCCTCTCTGCCTACTTGTGATCTCTCTCTCTGTCAAATATAAATAAAATCTTTAAAAAATAAAATAAAATAGAATGTTGAGAGGAAAACACAGGTTGTTTAGGAATATAGTACAATATTACTTACATAAAAAGTAAAACCCAGAGCACAATAGTCTGTAATATTTATGAATAAGTAAGTATTTAATAAAAATACAGAAACAAGGCATCATGGTTGTGATTACCTCTGGGAAAGGAAAAAGGAGAATCAGAGCAAGGAAGGGTATAAGTATCAGAGATGTTTCAACTTTATTTCTAGTTTTATTTCTTTAATGAGAAAGGATATAAAATAAATATTAAAAATGGATAAATTATATTGAGTCAGTGTGGAGAGTACAAATAGATATGTCATATTATTTTATCTCAGTATGAAATGCTTTATAATTTTTAAGTTTTTTTTTAAAGCTTTTATTTTTTCATGTGAGAGCACAAGTAGAGGGAGAGGCAGAAGAGAGGGATTTTTAAGTTTTCCATGAAAATATTTCATCAATCATGAAAAGGTCCTCATCCCATACAAATCACTTCAAATTCACTACATTCACAAATGTAATTTGTCTTCCTCCATCCTTTATTAAGCATCATTTTAAGCCACGTGCTATATGTTGTTTGAGGATTAGAGACTAGTTAGTGTCAGAAGAAATGTAAATAGTAGTAATAGTCAGCAAGGAGAGTAGCAAGGATTGAATAAAGATACCATGAGGATCAAGAAAGGTCCAAATGGTATAAAATTGAAAAGAGATTGGTCAAATGCTCAAAAATCATTCTTGGTAGTGAGTGAGATGCCAAAGATGTCACTGTCCAAAAAAAACAAAACAAAACAAAACAAAACAAAACAAAACAAAACAAAACGAAAAACAAAAAAACATAGGTATGGAAAATTTCTACTGTAATTTTAATTTGGAGGCTCTTAGAGAATATGATATAGAGTATATGTCAACTATAAGACTTACTACTAAGACTACAACAAACATCAAAGTTTCCCCCCCACCCGGAAGCAACCATTTTAATTATTAATATCCCATGAACCTCCCATAGCAACATACCTGGAGGAGGAGTCTTTCAAAAGCCAGAAAGTTGTCCCACTTAGCAGTCTGAGGGTGTTTCAGAGTTTGAACTGTGGCCAGCCCAAGCTGTAGGAGCCCACAGTGATTCACTAAAGCTTTGAGGTTGTTCTTGAAGAGCTGAATATAGGACATGAGCTGCCCTGGAGTGACTCTCCCTGGAGAAACATAATAATCTATCAGTAGTAAACTCATGACAAGAATGCCATTAATAACATTACTGCTTCATATTGGCACAGAATTTCAGAGTTGGCTGTAAGCTTTCTTAAGCTATTGTGATTCTTACAACAACATGGTGACAGGAGCAAATGTGAAGCTGTTTCCTGCCTTTCACAGGTAAAGAAACAGGGGCACCTGAGTGGCTCAGTCAGTTAAGCATCTGACTCTTGATCTCAACTTGGGTCTTGATCTCAGGGGTGTGTGTTCATGGAGCCCACTTAAAAAAAAAACAAACAAACTGGGGCACCTGGGTGGCACACAGTTGGTTAAGTGTCTGACTTTCTGGCCTGCCAGGTCTCTGTGGATAAGTCTGCTGCCAATC